TCAGTCCAGTATGACATACAGGTTTACAACACTTCAGTCTTTATTCGCCTTACATGTTTCGATTCAAAAGAATCATCTTCAGAGGCGCACCACTACGAGCAGGAAACACTGTCACATAAGATGTTTTAACATTATTCACTTAGGTTATGAATAGTGCTCACTATATCACAGTTTGCCCTATGCAGTCACGTTGACGTGTAGATTTACGTATGATGTTTTGTTTAAGCGTATTTGCTGGGTATTCGATTGGGGTTTCCCACTACACGCAATGTGATGTTCACTTTTCCATAAAATAGCTTCCCTATGTATTTAAAATTGTATTAAAAATCTTTTGTATGTAAAAAATTAGTTATTGTGTTAAAAATCGTGAACCAGCATTGGGTCGTGTTGTTTTTTCTTCCGGATGGTAGAAGATGTCAATTATTTCTCTTGGTTGTATGTGCTTATTGTTAGTTGTGTAGTTTACGTGCGTGCTGTGGAGTATGTACTCCATTGGCATGGTGTTATCATCATTGTTATTTTTATGTGCCCCCATTAGTGTGTATGTTCCCAGTAGTCGAGTGTGACAACCTCACCCTTGGGAGAACACATAAAAACATACACACATACCTTCCTACATGTGTATGTGTGTAAGTGGTGGGCCATAAAATCCAGCCCTCACACTGCGACCTTCAATGATCTCTTGTGTTTCCCCTTTGGATTAACCCTTTATTAATCTTACACTTTGAATGAAATGTAGGACTTTATTTATGGGGGCGCCATAAAAGTCACTTGGTTCCATGAAGAACTTACCCAGGTGACAAAATTTTAAGTAAGCTATGGCCACAATCACATAGGATATGTGTGGCTGATTGTCTTCTTGTAGGCACCTTTCACAGGTTGGGTCATCTGCCACAGTTTGAAAAGGTGTCCTATTAGGTGGCAGTGTCCAGTAAGTAATCCTACCACCCATCTTAATTGATCTCTACATTCCTACATACATTTTTTTCCCCTTGCGACTACAGCCCCAGTGGGCCTAGGCCTACCTCCATGAACTTCTCCGTTCACTTCAGTTTTCTAGATCTAACACATTCGGTAGGACTCCTTGGGCGGGTGATCAGCTTGTCGCAAGGCCTCTACCTGTACACAAACACAAAAAATCGCACACAAACATCCATGCCCTGAGTGGGATTCGAACCCACGATCCTGGCATCCTAGCGAGCGAAGACAGTGCATGCCTTAGACCACTCGGCTACCATAACCGGCCCTACATACATTTACTCAACTAATTTCCCTACTTGACTCTATTAAGGGAATGCCATATCACTCTTCATACATGTGAAAACTATTCATCTCAATGCTTTCTACTTTCTGCTTGATTAACATCGTTTTTTGAACATAGCCTGGATGGCTGATAAAGGGTGATCTAGTAGCTCATGGTAGGGTACAGCACATGCTTATATGGACACAGTAAGAAACATTTGGGTTACATAAAATGTGTGGCTGCACCATAGCTCAAGTGGTTAGTTGCTGGCTTCCTATTGTGGTGGCCCAGGTTCAAGCCCAGGTCTGGTCAAGTGGGATTTGTGGTGGACAAAGTGGCGCTGTGGCAGGTTTTCTCCGAGTACTTTGGTTTCCCCTGCCAATCATCATTCCACCAAATTCTCCATCATCATAGTCACCCAGGGCAGGTACAGTAGGCCAATGAGTGGCCGCCGTGCCGAGTGGGCCCAGCTGGACTCCACCCCCCACTATGCGAATTAAAAATGTACATAAAAGGTGAATCATTTTTTTTATTAGCTGCTGAAGGACTCTGTTTGATGCAGCTACTTTGTAACAGTACTCCCATACTTAGTTGCTGTAGTAATGGAAGTGAATGATACTGACATTGTTTGTTGCAGTAGAGGCTATAGAGTGCTTGGTAACAGTAGCACATAGTAATAATTTTAAGATGGTGTTTCATTGTTTCCCTAGTTCTATGTATGTGGACCTGTGTATGTGCAAATTTCAGCACTTGGTAAAATAGAATTGACTCCATAAAATAAATCAGCGCATTCTGTAAAAAAATTATCACAGAACTCTGCAAGTGTGTAGACAAAGCCATCATTGATGGTATGTGAGAACAGAATACTAAGGATGATACATTTTGTGATACATGATGTATTTTGTCCTAGGTAGAATGAATAGGATAATGGGAAAGAAAATTGTAATGAGGATCTTGGCAATTCATTCTCTTTGCCTAATATTACTAAGGTAAAGGTGAAAAGGTAAAGTTGCCCCAATGCTTAACTAATTAAGCACTATGCCATGAAGATGTATGGGGTGGTGGTTGTATAGACCCATGTTTTCTTGATCTTGGCACTAGTTGGAGGAGAGTGGTCACCTTAACGCTTCTGCCGCTTTACCCCCGGGGAAAGAGACGCTGGTACCCATTGGGTAGGAGGCTGAGTGGGCCCCAAAGCTGTTCTAGGCAACATGGAGAAGTGAAAATTCTTGCCCCTCCACTGGGACTTGAAATTCGACCCCTTGATTGTTCAGTCTCTAACCAGTTACTATACCAAATGCGCTATCCAAGCTCTTGCCCAATGTTACTAGGGGGTTCAAATCAAGGTCGTTGATATGGGTGAGTCATGTGACTAGCATGGGGAAGGCAAAAATGCATACAGAATTTGAATGGAAAACCTCTTTGTGGAGACCTTGCATAGGTGACATAATAATATTGAAGTATGTTGTAAAAATTGATATGCTTGGAACTGGTTTGACATGGTGTCCAGTGAAAAGCTTTTACAGTGGTGGTCATTGTGAACTTCATGGTCTGTAATGACATGGGACTTCCTGGCATAGCAGATTAAGAATTGTCTGATCAAGACTGCTCTTGTGCTATGGAATATGTAGTAAATCCATCAGCATAAGACAACCAGAAATATGAAAATTTGAGTGTTAACTGTGTTATGAAATAATCAGGATATCCAGCAAAGTCTTCGTTCTAATTTATCATTGTATCTTATTTATATTTGTCCTGCTCCTGTGTTTAATATCAAACTGTGGCCTGATTTGAAACTCTGGCTGCTTTCTCTGTTAATTGGTGGTTTTTGTTTGTTTCAGCTGGGCATGTGGAGTCATCATGTTTACCCTGTAAGTGAGACTTCTGTTTGTTAATTTCTTAACTGAATTTTCAATGTAGCTTAATATCATCTTGGTGGCAGGTGTATTTTTACTAAATAGGGGACACATCACATCTTCTTAGTATTGCCAGTGCATAGGGCATTGAATGCCCTGAGTTATCTCACACATGTCATTAATGAGATTAAGGCACTGTGAACCCAGGGCTCTTTTCTCCAGGGTAAAGTAGCGTGAGCTTGAAGCTAACCATTCACTTCAACTAGTGCCAAGGTTAAGGACATGTGATGCCTTACAGCACCTTCTATATACCATCATAGCATATTGCTTTTATATTACTTCAAGAATGATTGTTAGAGTTAATTTTAGTATGTGGTAAAACATATAAGGATTGCCATTGCCCCTACTATTGAGTGTCAGTGGTATATTGACGAAGAGCTTATGATCCTGAGACTCTTAGTGTACATTGGCTCAGCATTAATGCACTCCTGTTCTGTTGTGAAGTACATGTTTAAATGTCAGGTAAGCTGACCTGTCCAGAGTTTTCATATTGTGGCCATCACTAATTCTTTCCTGTTTTCTGTGCATAACCATCTCATCTCATTCAGCATACTATACAGATGATAAAGTATAATTAAATAGCCTAGACACTAGCCAATCCATAATAGTGTAACATAGGTTATTTATGTCTTCATTGCATTGAACTTGCTAAAATATTCAAAACTGCCGTGTATTTTACTCAGAATGCAGAAATTTGGGGATCTTGTGGCCATTAGACATGTTTTCATAGCTACAGTAGTTGGCTACCATTTTACTTCAACGAGTTGCTCTGTATTTTTACAGGCTTGTGGGATGTCCTCCATTCTGGCATCGCAAACAGATGGTGATGCTTCGCAATATCATGGAAGGAAAGTACTCCTTCACATCACCAGAATGGGCTGACATAACAGGTAACCCAAAGAAATTATTATTGTTTGTGAAATTATTGCGGAAGAGTCTACTTTAACTGGGAAATGCGAAATATTTTATATTGTCACGTGACACAGTGTGACTATAGACAGGGTTTGGATTGGTAATCTGATTTATTGAACTCCTAAACAACTTGTGACTACACTTTACAAATCTCTATCAGACACAGACTTAGTGTTCTCCATCACTGTGTTCACTGTGCTTTTGGATACCAGCTTTCAGTGGTGTAGCGTCCTCAGCTTCCATGTCTGACAGCTCCTGTCCTCACTGGCTGGCACCTTGAATGAATATATAAGGGGTGGGCCCTTCCGACCCTTGCACTGTAGCCTTCAGTGATCTATTGTGCTTCCCCTTTTTTCTTTATCCCTTTATCAATCCTATACTTCGAATGAAATATAGGAGTTTTGTCATAATAGTCTCTTGGTTCCATAAAAAACTGGCCCAAGTGTCTGGCTGGCACATTTCAGCCACATCACCTGAGCTGTACTAACAGGCTTCCACCTGCCAAACTGACTCACAGCACGCAGTCGACTCCTTACATAGCCTCGGCATGGACCACATAGAAGAAAAATCACTCCTGGCAGCTCTCCTGTTTTTGCATCATGTAGCTGTAGTGTGAACTGCGTAGAGAACACTGCTTTCCATTATTGTTGTATCCTCCTGTTGCCATGGTATTGTGTTCATGTCTGTTGGTAAAGCTTTTACCTAACAATGGGTCTGCATGCCACAATATTATACACCAGAGTAAAACTGTAATTTTAATTGCGTGAAATCATCATGGTAAATGGCTGTGAACACATACAGCTTGTCTGCAGTATTTGGATGTGCAGCCAGAAATGTCAAGGAATGAGAAATTTATTTTAATGTTGCTTAGTACAGATTGTTGTTAAAAGTTGAAGCAACATTTGTATAGTTTTTGTTTTCACTTGCAGAACCCACCAAAGACTTGATCCGCAAGCTGCTTGTTGTAGACCCCATGAAACGGATCACCATTAAGGAGGCACTGGAACACCCATTCTTTCAGATGATGGTGAGGATGATCATCAACAGTGTAATGCTCTGTTTGTGTGGCTGTCCAGTACCATGACACAGTTTGTATCTTGGTCTGACAGATTTGTGTCTCAAAAAGATATATGAGTGGGGATTGTCTTTTTGTTTGTTCACTTCCACATCTTACTCTTCACATCTGTACCATGCTGCACTTTCATAATTACTGGGCTTTTGGACATTTTCCATCACTTGGTATTCTAAAAGAAACATGAAAGAACACAACATTTTGGAAACTGGATGTGTATCCATCCTCAGGTGATTTCTGGAAGACACCTACTCTTTGGGGGTCTGTTAAAAAATCTAACCTCAATCAGTGGACAACATATGTTGGTATAACTACAGCTATATAAACACCAGAGATCAGGCTTTGTCAAAGGGAGATACAAGGTGGTTCAAATATGACCGGGACTGATTTTTTTTGTAAACAAGCCGCACTGCGCAGCAGCTGTGCGACCTTGAGAGAGTGAAGCCACAACCTCCACCCTCCCTTCTGTTAGGGTTAGAATCTGTTCGGTCCTGTCTGGAAGTTGCTAGAGTGATGAGAGAACAGAGGGTACTGCGGAGCGTGGAACAACGCATTGTGATCAAATTCCTCGTTGGAGAAAACGTCCAGTCCGCTGAAATTTACCACAGACTCCAACAACAGTATGGGGAAGAGTGTCTCTCACGGACCCGTGTGTTTGAGTGGTGTAAGTGCTTCAGAGAGGGCAGAGAGCGCGTGGAGAATGAACCGGATGATCATTGGCCATGAACATTCATCACTGAGCCGAACATTGATTGTGCAGACGTGCTTATTCATGAGAATAGGCGCATCACTATCAAGGAACTTGGAGTAAGATCTGATCCAAGTGGAAGACAGGTGGAAAGTGGGTAGCCTTCCTTCAAGACAATGCACGCCCCCATACGGCCAAAACAAGGAAACCCTTTGGAAATTGAAATGGAACCTTCTGACACATCCGCCGTACAGTCCCGATTTGGCCCCAAGTGATTTCTACCTGTTCGGAAGGCTCAAATCAGACTTGCAAGGTATGTGGTTTGTGGACAATGACGCCGTCATCCAGACTGTTCGGGAGTGGATACGCCAACAAGTCTTTTTTGGGGGGTGGGCATGAGGATGCTTCCAGAAAGTTGGAAAAAATGTGTTGACTATGGAAGGGAGTATGTTGAAGACTGACATGTGCAAGTAAGTGTTCGGCAATTATGTTTTGTTTTTTTTTAATCAGTCCCGGTCATATTTGAACCACCTAGTAATAGGAAAATGTACAGTAAAAATGTGAGGGACACCATGCAATGGATTAAGTTAAAAAACCCAGTAATTCTGAATGTTATACACCATCATCAGATACCTTCATAATCTACATGCTGCACTTTGTTCTGCAATTTATATACATTTGTATTTACCATCAAAGTTGAGGACCAGAGGGAAGTATTTGAATACTGATTTCCTCAAAAGATTTGCATGTGTTGAAGAGTTGTTAAATCAGCTTGATGATGGTAGATGCCAGTGAGGATGATGTGATTCTAGTGGTGCCAAGTAAATGTAGAAACTATATGTATCATTCAGTTGAGCTTTGACATGGCAGAGACAACTTATTGTTGCTCTAAGCACTCAGACCACTACTGGGCCCATTGTGTGCCATCATTCAGTTTATATGAGCTCTTAGCTATTGGAATTTCTTGTTCAAACTCAAATTAAAGAGGAGCCTGGGTAGCTCAGTAGGCTATAGGCTGGATGACTGAGGAATCAGGATTCAATTTCCAGCTGGGGAAAGAGATTTTTCTCTTTTGCATAGCATACAGATTGACCCTGGGGCCCACCCAGCCTCTTATACAGTGGATACCAAGGGCTGGGGTAAAGCATAAGGTGTGTGATGCTGACCATTCACCTCTGTCTGACGCTGAAGTTAAGGACTGTGGAGTTCTACCTTCATTCCCCCATATGTCTTCATGGCTTGGTGCTTGATTTATTAAGCACAGGAATAAGTTTACCTGTACCTTTACTACTATTAAAGGAGAGAGTTTATTCCTGAGCTGAAATTTTATATTAAAGGAGTTTACATTGTTTTTTCTAGCAAATGATAGGTATTGTGCTTTCATGTCAGATATGTCTAATATTTATGACATAAGAATAAACAGAGGTTTATATAAATTTCTTTTCACTGTCCTTTATGTAAAATATCCGTGAAATCGTAAAACAGTTCATAGTGAACTAATCTGAATAAGTGTTTTAATATGCTAAATATTAAATCAAATGATTGTTTTGCTGTACTCTTTACTAAGATTCCTATAACAACGTTTCATTGTACTCATTTCTGAGAGACATGAAACAATATGATTTGCACACTGTCGAATCAGAGAAGAAAATCTAGGATGTGGCTGTTCTTAATGTGTGCATTTTCAGTAATGACAGAAATTGTTCATTGTTTATCAATTAGGGACACAGAGCAAAGAAGTGTACAACTTATGGTACTGTCTTTATAGCTACAACTTGTGTTCTTGAATTACTTTTTGGCAGTATGAAAGGGAACTGGAGTTCAGGTCCATCAAGCATTAAGAAATGACCAAATAACTAATTCCTCTCTTTTGTGTCTTGCAGAAGAAAGCTTTTGGCATGTATCTTAAAATGTACTCTGTCTCTGGTACCCACTGAAGTTTTAGTCTGTGCCATAGGCACTTGTGATGTAATGAATGAAATACTGGGCTGTCCCATTGAATGGCAGGAAATGTATTTTGAGTTCTCCATTCTATATATTTCATCCCTCCCTCATAAACCCTCTATGTGGGAGGAGTACCGTTTAGAAATCAACAAGGGAAACCAAGGAATTACTCTGTTAATCAATTTTTAGAATAATTCATTCTTCACCAGAATTCAAACTCACACTGTGGTGGCCTGCTCATTTTGGTTCAGTGTTAATATTTTGATTCCATTTGATTCTTATCTGAATCACCAGTTATTATGATTGAGGATATGTCCTTTGAGGAGAATGCTTGGATAGCACCTTAAAGTATCAGTCAACCACCATCTCTTGATGTCCATTCTTATATTAGTTCATGTGAAGACCTTTGCAGTTGTAATGTTAAATAATCTAAGTAAACAAATGTCACTGAACAACGTGTGCCATTATCACTACCAAGATATATGCTATTAAAAGAGGGGAAAATTATTCAGCAAACCATGGTTTATATTTCATGAAGAACCAATGGTGAATGTTTCTGTCACTCACTTGAGTGCTGAAGTTATTAATGTTGATGAATGCTCCTGATATACTGCTCACTTTAGTGTAACAAGACGGATCAGACTGAATAACTGCGTCCTTCACTTCCTGTCACTTTATTTGCCATGTTTTGCAGCTGTGGGACCAAGACATAGCCCCACTGAAACGCAGCCTGTCCGGCTCCTCCAGGAGACTCAGTCGAATCTCACAAATGGCTCTGGTAATACACAGCTTGTTGTAGTGTTTACTAACTTGCAAGTTGTAAGTAACACTGGGAGGAGCGTAACGTAGAGTTGTGCATGGACAAGGCAGCTTCTGGGGTTACATGTGTCATGTGTTGTCCCATGTTGCATAAGTTGTGATATATGTATGTCCTAGTCATTGATTGATTAACATCGCCCACAGAGTTTATTGAGATTTGGTTTGCAACATAATTTAATTCCTTTTGTGATGAGAAATTAACTGCTAGCCTGAGGGTGGAGTATCATCGCAGTCATATATACAGTTGGCTGTTCAGTACAGATTCGTTTTTACTGAACGCCTTTGCTGGATACAGGAAGAGCCTGCTTATGTGAAACATCAGAGCAAACAAGAAATGCAGTTGTTCTTGAAGAAGTTCAGTGAAGTTGACATTTAATACTTACATTGATAGATTGCATTCCATCTACTCTCTGGAATAAGACTTGTTCACATGCTTAAAAACAAAAATATGTGAATATGTCATAAAGCAGAGACTACAATGGTCATGGAATACTAAATCCCTTGGTTCTCAGTGGTTAATGTTCAGTATTTTTTTCCCTTGGCAGTACAGCCCCAGTGGGCCTAGGCCTACCTCCATGAACTTCTCCGTTCACTTTGGTTTTTCTAGATCTTACACATTCGGTAGGACTCCTTGGGTGGGTGATCAGCTCGTCGCAAGGCCTTACCTGTACACAAACACAGAAAAACGCATATACACAAACTAAACATCCATGCCCTGAGTGGGATTCGAACCCACGATCTCGGTTTCCAAGCAAGCAAAGACAGTACATGCCTTAGACCGCTCGGCTACCATGACCGGCAATGTTCAGTATTAGGATACATCATTTTTACAGAATGATTATCTTCTCTTTCATTTAACCATCCAAAACTAACAACAGATGAGTCTTTATGAAGCTAGTTACATCCCTGTTTCTTCACTGCAGTGCTAATGGGAGATATAATGAATTTATATTCCCAATGAAGCTATATAAAATATTTACATTTTCCACTGTTTGTGTGACTAACACATGGCCTCTGACCCTGCAGGAAAAATATAAATTGCAAACAGAATGAAACAAAATATCATGAGATCAAGAAAATTTCTTCATAGTCACCGCCGTGAAAGCCTCAAATCTAACAAGAAAATTTCTTGTTTTGTATCAGTATCCATTTCATAAACATTATTATGAAACTGTAAGTTAAGTGAATACCACAAATTCCTAAAAATATGACTATAATTTTTATCATGGCATAACCTTGTATTAGTAAGCTCAAAATATTTTTCAAAGTTTCATCTTCATTTCTCTTTGACAGTTTACAACTGAGAACATATTTCTTGTTCTAAGATAAAGTTTTTCCAGAGAGCATACACGAAAGTAGGTCAGCCTTGTCACTATTAGCAGCATACTTGGGTTCATATTCCTTTTTAAAGATAAGAACAACTTGGTTTCCCAGTCCCATTTCTTCAGTCATGTCTTCTACTTTTCCAGGCTTCATTGTCAGAGTTAGTAGTTTGAGTCTGGGATAGGAACTGTGAATAGACTCTACTGGGATATCTGTAAATGTGATTGATGAGGAATCATTGTGAAGGTACTAGTTGCATGTATCGACAGATATAGAGGTGGTTATTGATTGAGTTTTGTGTTGTAGGAAATTTGGTTGTTTGTGTCTCCTTTGCCACCAGTTTTCTTTCCAGTGACATAATATAATAGGAGCAGAATTCAGTATAATGAGTGTGTGATGGTCATAATATCAGTAACACAATCATCCCCAAGTTGTCGAACAGCTTCTGCATTAATTGCGTGTGTCCATTTATCTGTGTCTGTTGGTCTTTCTGTTTATGAGGATTTTTTTGTCTGTGACTTGTTAATGCAAGTTGAGTTCCACAGGAGATGAAGAGTCGCACTTTCAATGCCCGCAAGATGTTCCAGTATGCAATTCTCTGTGTACGTGCCATGGTGCGGATCAGAAGATTGCGCTTCACGCCAGAGCCTCTATCAATGGATGTGGCTCGAGTTGATCCATACCGCATCAAGGTGCTCAGGAAGGTAAGCTCATTGCTTATCAGTGCAGTAGTAGATATAACAAGGAAACTGTCATGCCTTGTGATACACATATAAAGTCTTGATGAGGGCCCTCCCCCCAGATTCAGCAGGGCTCACACATGGCTCTATATTTCTGTGAAGTTGATGCATTGACATTGTGTGCCCTCTTGAAATCTTAAGTCACCATAAGTGTTTCTCAGATACACTGCCTAAGGCATTGCCATGATGGTTATGTGCACTGAGAGTCATTTTCAACTCAGAAATATTTTCTTAATATTGTAATCCTGTATTCAAGTACAGTATTTGTAAAAGATGTGTTAACCGAATCTAGACTTGAAGATTTTATATTAAATTGATAAAAATGGAATTCATGTGCCAGTTTCATTGTGCTCATTGTAAACAAATATAATGTTTGAGTCATTCCTTAATGGTGTCAGTTCTTCCTTATTAGAAATAGAATGGCATGTTTGCATGCGCATATGCTCATGGAACATTTTTCCTCCATCTTGGAATGTGGTCAGTACATGGCAATTTATACTTTCCAACTTTTCCACAGCAGTATGAATTTCATCAGAATTATGTTGAAGTATTAATTTATGGCTAAGGAGCATGTAATGTCAGTTTGCATAAGTTCATTAACCCAGGGAAAAAGATCTGTATGGAAACTAGGTGTATATGGGAAGATAGTGTTATTTGTACGAGGCCTGACAGTAAAGTTTGAGAACTTGCTACCTTGTGCTTTCCGTAGCAGCAGCGAACAGAAACCTCAGTATGGTTTGATGACGTTGGCATATCAGTGTTTCATAGCCATGTTGTTGTTCTATGACAGTCTCTTTCTTAGTGGCATCTATTATTGTCTGAGTGTGTTTTGGTGTGCTGTCATGAGAATGCTGGAGCTTGAATTAGAGCAACGAACGAACATTATTTTTTCTTGTTAAACTTAGCAAGATCAGAGAAGTGTTAGTGTAAGTTTACAGAGATAATGCTTTGAAGAAAACAGCAGTTTAGAAATGGGTGACACGTTTTTCTGAAGGAAAAGAAAGTGTCACTGACGAAGAGAGATCAGGATGGCCAGCAATGAGCAGAACTGAAGAAAACATTGCAAAAATTTGTAGCAATTTTACTGCGATGAGTTCGCCAACTTTATTGTCAGACCACATATATTAGATATGTAGGCTGTAAAAATGTAAGAAATTAAGCACCTCAAGTCTCTTGGAGTCTTTTATGAATGCAGTTCCAAAGAACAAGAAATTTCTTGACTGAATGAATAATTATGAATTGCTCAATTAAGAGCTTTTACCAAGAAGTTAATCCACCATCAGTTTTTTAAGTTGGTTAAAAGGAAACATTGGCCAAATAACACTTTAAGAAAATAAGATAGACACATCTCCACGAAAATGCTGATCATCTGCAGTTGATACCATACAGTCACTAGCCATGTGTATCAGTTTAACATTTTGCATAGTCTGCTGTTAGTTGTTATTTTATCAGGCAATTATCAGTATACAACATATCAATTATGAATTTGACAAACATGCACAATTCAGGATATTGGAGGTGAACTCCTGATAACCTTGACTCTGGTGCAAGGATCTGTATAAGGAGGTGGTGGTGACTGGTTTGTTAATGGTAAGAAATGTTCAGTGGATAACTCTGTATGCATTTGGTGACACTGGAAAATTAATGAGATTCTTACTGGCTACAGAAGAAGTCTTAACACTTCACGGACCAGTGATTTAAATATTTAAATCACCCTGGGGACTGGCATTTTTAGACATACTACCCTAACTTGTGCACTGTTCACTTTAAAAATTAATATAAAATCTCCTAATTAATTTTTTGAACTAAAATTTTTGGAGAACACTTACCAATGCTCATAGAAGTGCTTGAGGGTGTGATATTTCTGGAAACTTTCCCCTTTGTGAAGTGGCATTACACAGAACTTGCAAATGTATACATACTCCTTTTTTTGTGAACTGTGCAAACACAGCATTGCCTAGAAGTATTCTTCCCCTTGGAATGTTCACTCTTCACAATTTTCACGAGGGTATTTTTCCGCATATCACTCAAGAGTTGCCCTGGGGGGTCCACATGAGGCCTTCGTGGGGTGGGAGTTNTACTAAGTCTTTGTGTGACCCTGGTTCTGCCGCCACCATCTGGACTGTAGCCCAGACCTTTGCCACATTCATCAGAAATGCTTTGTATTTCAATTTTGAATCAGGGTTTAGATAATTTAGATTTTTTGCTGTCCCCGCAATGTTACTAAGCGCAGTGTTATTACTCACATTATCGTCAGAGCTAGTGTCACTTTTACTCTCTGTCACCACAATTATTTGTCGTCCCCCATCACTGTCGCTGTCTGAATGACAATCCATTACTACGCATCTCACAAGTCAGGTCAGCTAGGTCATCGAAGGAGAATTTGTCCTTGATCCATTCTCCCCACTAGCTACTGGCTGATACACACAGCTTGAAGAAGGCAAAGCATTTTCCTTTATAGTCGGTTAAGTAAACAGCGAGGTCAAGTTACTGACTGCTAACTAAACATTCCAGAGTTTTATCATGCATCTGCAGGCGGTTGTGTGCAATGTAGGTGGTGCCAGAGCGATATATAGTGTGTTGCAACTTATCATGTTTTAAAAACCTGTTAACACACGAACGGTCCGCCATGTTTAAAAGTGAAAAACCTTTTAAAGAGTGCGCGGTCCGCAAAGTGTTAAACAACAGTGAAAAGTGTATGGTGCTTTGAATCCACTTGCAATCCCATTTTCTTTCAGGTGATTGATGGCTGTGCTTTCCGTGTCTATGGCCACTGGGTAAAGAAGGGAGAAGGACAGAACCGAGCTGCCTTGTTTGAAAACACACCCAAGATAGAACTTAAACATATCTACGTGAGCAACCTGAGTCGATAACGCATGGTTTCATATAGCCTATCTACAGTGAATTGATATACACAAGCCAACATTCAGTCAGTGTAGACAAGTGTCAAGTTCCTAAATTTAGTGTAGGTCACATGCATCCATAGTCAGTCATATTTTACATGCTAGAAGTGTGAACTTCTAGGGACACACATTGTTTACATTGTCTTTATTACGTGTCATCCTTGGATTATCCCAACCTGTTATAAAATTACTTTGATGAAATTGAAAAGAATGGATTCCCCAGAATTATAAAATATAAACGAAAAAGCAGAAGGTGCTTAAGAAGACTCGAAAAAAATATCATGAAACAGGTACAGCTCTTAATGTTGATATTTATACTGCATCAGAGTGTTGATGTTTTAGAGTGTCTAATTTATTTTTAATGTCTTTCCTACAAGCAGCATCAGTCCTGCAGATGCAGTACATGAAATCATGGCTTGGAGCAAGTGTATGAGAAGCAGTTGTTTTGTCTGATATTAAAAAAAAAAATTAATCTCAAGAAGAGTATAGGTAATTTGACAACCACTTAGTGGCATGCAGTATTCAGTCACATGGAAACAAGTTACTGGACACACTCGGGACAGATTAGAGAGATATTCTGTCCCCATTCATAATTTATCACATAAATCTTAATTTTTATGCTGTATACAGAGTGTGTAAAGTGAATGCATAATTGGGAGATAGTGTCAGTCCATATGTTTCATCTTCATAACTGCTTCACAGATTTTGGTTAAGTATCGTAAAAGTAACTAACTGTATAAACAAAATCATTAAAGCATTTTTCCATTTGGGTTTCAGTTTTATCTGCTCACCCACTGGCACAACCAACTGCATGAAGCTGGTTAGATGCATCCAGTCATATGAGACAGACTACAGTTCATGCTGTCACAATGAAGTGATTGATTGATTAGTTAACAACAAAGATATAATAAGGGAAACCACCTCACTATTGCAGATGGCTTGTCTGATTGCACTAAGCTGAGAGCAGCTGAAATTAAAGTTGAAAGTTTCAAACAAACAAAAATGCACATTGAATGTGAACATTTTCACGAGGTTGGCTGTGCCAATGAAAGCAGCATATGGGAGTCTGATAAAGATATATTAAAGTTAGGATTACAAGAGAAATATAAGAGAATTTAGAATAAAGATTTTTTTATTGTAATATTTATTCTCTCTTGTTGACAACAGCTGATCCTAGGTGCTTATTTGGATTTACTTAATTTTCTTAAGTTGTCCCAATGAGTGAGACTGGCTCATTTTAATGGACCCAACTGAGTAGGTACATCCCCACTCTTTCACCTGAGAAAGGAAATGGATCAATTTCTCAAAACATGTTCTGTTCAGAAAGCAGGTCATGGACAAAATCCAGAAACCCAGTAATCCTGATTTTTTAATTTTGTTTATATTTAACCAAATTCATGGTCATAGACTTTCTGACTAAATATAATACCTTTGCAATTACAGATTTGTATCTGCAACATAATGGCAGTAATTTTTTTCTGCAGAAGGAGAAAATATATTTATGATACAAAATCAAGAGTATTATAAAGATGTAACAGGTAACATACTTGAAGAAAATACATAATAATTGATACTGTTCATTGCAATAAATTTTTTAAATGTATATTGAATTGAAATAATTGAATTATTACATGCATAATAATCATTGAAGATCAAAATATTACTGTGTATGAGTGGTGATAAGATATAGCAACCAAAAGTTGAAGGAAGATCACTCTCTTATGGGATATTGACACTGTGTAGTATGGTGAATAATTGTCAGTGCTTTAGAGGAATCTCCTGCCTCCATCTTCAGAATAGAAGAATTTGTTAATAAAGGAGTACAACTTATTTTAAGCAACATATGCTATACAACATTTGAATCAGTGAGATTACACATTTGAATGAAGTTCCAATTTTCCTGCTACAGTATTTGAACAAGAAGTAAGTAAATGTAATGGCCAGAAAGGTATGTAAGATAGGCACAATAGATCACTGTGGTTGCAGTGCACGGGCCAAGAAGGCCCACCTCTTATACGTTCGTTCATTCATTCGTTCATTCAAGGTATGTAAGATTGCACTTAGAAAATGCATGTACTCCAGTTAGGAGTGTACCCCTTACTGTAAATGTACTTGACTCATTCAGTGTGCTGGCAGCTGCCACTTTGCTGCTCCCACTCCTTAACCTTTTAATAAGAGACAGGAAGACATATTAACCCACCAGTGTGATGCAAGTATTCTAAACACTGTTTTGGGGAAATGAACTACCTTATTTTACCTTAATTATCCATTTTTCATTTTGTTCCCCAGTTATAATTTATTTATCCATGAGTTAATGCAGTTATTGCTTAAAACCACAGCTGCAACTCTGTGAGTACACCCTTCCAGCATAGTGTTAACATTTAACCAATGAAACATTTTGTGTTCCCAAAGATGTTATCCAGAGTACCTTCACAGGTCACAGTAGGCCATTAAGAAAGCATATTCTATATACATTCGTTGATATACAATTCGCAGAAATATTTGTTTCATTGGAAGTATTCATGTTGATCTGTTTATTCATGGTCACATGTAAATGGTATTCAAATGTTCAGCAGTGCAGTGGTACCTAACTTCTTTTAGTCTGAAGTTTCCTCGATGTGAATAAATAAGTCTCAAAAAAGATAAGAATGTTCTCATTGTTTCAAAGCTTTATAAATATGTTTGTTATGGTTGTAACTTAACTGTAACAGCAGAAAATAAATCATCTTTCACAGAGATGCTATGTATGTTAAAACTCATATCTTTTTGAGTTATTTAATTGACTGTTACAGTGAATGAAACAAATATTGTATAAATATGTCACTTCTCTTCTTATAAACCCCTCACAGCAACAATACCATTTTGCATTCTGTGCAAAATAACCTTTGTACAATTGTTAGGTAATAGAAGAAGAAATGACATGACGTACCTAAGTCTCCATTATATGACTTTAGATGTCTCAAAGACTGACGGATTAAAGCCTTAAGATTGTTTGTGGTTGATATTCACTATGAATAATATGGCATATATTCTTCCTTATTAAAGAGCACCACTGCAAGCTGACAGGAGAGAATTCATTGTACAGTGTATAGGGTACCATGTAGCTGCACTGGAAAAGTACATTTCCTACGTTATGCAATATGGTACACATTGTATAGACATAGTATCTCCTAAAATGGCTATGAGTAAGTGTAAAATAAAGAATGTACATTTGAACTGGTAATGTAAAAAATCAAGATTGTGTGGTCTGTTATCCTTCTCATACTAGGCTAACATCCGTTTTCACATTTCTTTATATTAAGGTATTTACATAGTGATACAACACTGGCCTTTTTATTTCAACTTTCATTGTATGCTGCTGCATGTTCTAGAAAATATTAGGATCTAAGAATGATGGTATGGTCTGGTAATTTACTGTTGCAAGTAAATTCTTGGTTTTGGGACCTATGACCATACTTTTCTATTCATGACTCTTTACTGAGTCATGAAAGTGATGATGGAAAGTTGTTTCTTTATGCATGTTGTAACATTATGAAGTCTTGTTGGCAGATATTAGGTTCCTTTAGCCCCTGTGGGTCTCATGACCTTTCTTTTAACCTGTATGTATAACTGAGCCAGTTCCTGGACCTACATAATTAACCCTGAAGTTTGTATCCACCCACAAAACTACATGGTGTCACAACCTAGAAGCATAAGATCTTGTTTCTTTATGTCATATTGTAGATAACTTCCTGCTACTTTTCCAGATTTACTGGGCATCCATACTTAGTAGGGTGGGCCCAGAACTTAATTCTCTGCAGTCATTTATATTTATTTGTAACATACAGTAACTCTTCATTATTATTCTGCAAATTTTGGTTTCTTCCCCATATATTATCATATTACTGAGATACAATCCCCTCACTCTTCTGTTTGGTTAATGTATTTTTCTCCAATTATCTGTGGCCAGGAGACATACTCCTACAGAAAGCCGCAAAGGTTCGCCTCCGTTATTGTATAGTGGTAGTATGTGGTAGTTTGCAAAATACACGTTTTAAGGCCCTGAGGAGGATTTCAAAGCATTCAGGCCTAGTGTCCTTCCAGCAAATGTTCGGCACTGGCGCTAAACGACAATTTTAACAGATTACGAAGAATGATGTTACCTGGCACTATACTAGTCAAAATTTATATTGAATTATTTCCTGCTCGATTTATGGTTATGTAGGTCTCGTACATAATAGTTTGATTTACTTATCCATAATTAATTTGTTTATTTAAAGTACTATGACAATGTCAATAACTGTATCAAATAGCGAAAAATCAGCTGGGCCAAATACGCTCTCTATATCACAAATCCCTCCAAGTTCCCACCCCACATACCTGTAAACTGTGTTGCATGTACTAACCTTAGCTAGGTGCACAACAAAGGTCATATGCATGAGACGCCAATATTTAGTGTTCTGTGTGTGTGCGTTTCTAAATAGGCATAATAATTTTTTATGGTTCGCGAGTTTTTTTCTGTTACGTTAAAATATCATGTGTCACCAATAACAAAAACATGCATAGTTCGGATCGGGTGGCGATAATTATTGATGCAGGCGCTTTTACTGCATTGATTACGTGTCCTTGTTTACGTTCTGCATATGGCAACAGTGTGCGGAAACCCATGTGACAAGGAGGAAACGTGACAGCCAGGATGACGCTTGTGTTGGTACCGGGTTCAAGCAGGTTATAAACCCATTGTCGAAAGGTAGTAGATTTCCATGTTATTCTAATAGTGTAGCAAACTACGTTATTCGAACATTAACAAATTTGTATCCTACAAAAACGTAGCGGGATGCGTGTTAGGCGTACGACCTAAGGACGAACACGCCCTGTCCGCGTTACGTCACACAGAGCTCTGTGATTGGATAGTTAGAAGACCCCAGACACGTGAACTAAGTAGCAGCAAGCATGGCAGCTGATGCGCAGTGGTTTTGAGTTTTTTGTGGGGTCTCTAGATCGATCATTTTTAATCATTCTTGTACTTTAAAGAAATCGAACGAGTGTGCTAATGCGTTGTTAATGAATTTATTGGTTTACGCACTTTAAAAAACTTTTTGGCTTTGGTTCAGTCGTCAAATTATAATGCGTGTGAATTATGGTAAGGGTTTTAGTGGCTGCGTGGCGTGTTGGCGGTCCATAATCGCTCGGCCAATCGTTGCCAACATCCTTTTGTGACGTAACAGGCCTGGCGACGATTCATTGGCAGTTGTCGTTGGCAACCCAAACACTCACGTCACTCACGGCCTGGGCCGGGGCTGGCAGTGGCTGCTAGGTCCATGCTGCAGCCCCGTCTGCTGTGTTTATTTTACATTCCGCAGTAACATCTGAATTATTGTGTGTGGTAATAATGGAAGCGTAAGCTCAGACGGCGGGAGGGCGAGTTCCAGAAGAACAATGAGTCTGGAGACGCTTCTGGAAGCGGCGCGGTATGTGGAGCTGCAAGAGGCCCAGCGGCTACAGCAGTCGTCGTCCTCCTTATCTTCCTTGGCACGTGGTACTGCTGGTATGTTTCAAGTTGCAGTTATTACCTTGAAATGTGCTTTAATTTCTGAAATGTTAGGAATACCGTTTGTTTACGTTTGCTAGTGCACCCCACATCTTCGTACTGTTAGTTACGCCCAGTATTAGTAGCATCAGAATTGCAAAGTAAAGTGTCGTGTAGAGACTGCTGCCGCAGTATTCATTGACTGGTGTGTATGTCCGGATGACGGCATGATGAGACGTGCCTTATCGATTACCGTAACAGGGCTCGAAGGGTGCCGGCCCTGTCATGGGCATAATGACTAGATGCGCAGGAAACGTTCTCGGTGCTGCAACTGTGTGTAACCTTAAAACAGTTGTGTAACCCCACAGTGAAGCATCTTATGTAGAAAGTGAGTCTGGAAAGTAATGGGTTTCAGAAATAATGACAGTGTTTAAAAAGGTCATTGGCTTGTACCACTACCATGTGTAGTTTATTTTGTGGCCCCACCAAGACAACAAAGGGCCAATAACTTTGTAAACTATGTCACTTGAAACGCGCCTATTATGTACGACGTTACGGTTACAAACTTATGTAGGCCTATAATTACGCATGCGGTGAGGTGTTGCCCTAAAGTGAGCATGTTGTCAAGGAACCCACTGTTGCCAATTCTAATTTTATGACATGTACAAGTTCGTTGTACTGTCGGCAGATGGAACTGCTGGAGTAATTGTTTCTTTTGTATTTGCTAACAGATGGCAGTCCACATGTTTCGTGAGGTGGATTATATGGGTTTGAATTTTACGTATAAGCTACACTGAGCTTGGAAGAATTGTAATGCACTGGGTGCAGAATCTTCTGTGTTTTAATTTAGTGGGACTCTGCAACTTTAGAAGAGTTCTGTCGTTTGGGATATAACTTTTAACCCTGAATATGAAGGCTGCATGTTCCTCCGAAACGTCGGTTGACTTTCAGCGGATTACTCGGAGTTATATTCCAGAAGATAAAGCTCTTCATAACCACCGCGGTGAGAATCTCAGATCTGTTACTTTTTTCTCAGTGGTTGCAAAATTTTGGCTATGGTGTTACGTTCTTGATCAATGTTATAATTTGCAAATACGTCTTATGTAATTGGTATTTAAGTAGAGGGCATCAGGTGCAGACTGCCAGGACGTGAATATTTCGAATTATGAGCTGAAGCGATCATATCGTGTTTGGTTAGCTGGGTGACCTACCTCAGCAGCACATGTGCCGAAAGTACGTCACAATCACATTTAATATATATATATATCAGCAGAGATGTTATTTATTTAACGTCTTTCTCAGTAGTTCAGATTATATGGCATTAAACGATAGGATAGATGGAAATTGTTTCATTGGAAAGGACGTGGAAGGAAGTGTTAATGGGTTGATTTGAGGCAGGCTTTGCCATCTCCGCAAATCCATGGAGGTACTGAGGAAAACCCAGAAATTGTTAGTGAAGATAGCTGGTTTCGGAACCCACATTTGAAGCCGGCAACTCCCGAATACAAAGCAGGCGTGCCAACCACTCCACCATCAAGTTCGGTGAGAGAATGTTTTTGTAATATTTCTTATGTGTAAAATTGTAATTATATCGGCAGAGGATAGTAACGGATCACTAAGCATGGATAGTCATCTTATCAAAAGTCACTGTATAACATATTGCAGTTTCTTTTCGAAAGTAATTACTTGCATGTAGATTTATAGGAGCCCCAAAGGAAGAATACAATCTTCTGGCTTGTAACGATAAAGTCGGCGAAATCCACCGACTTTTCGGAGGAACGTATCGAAGAGCATAAGCAAAGTGCTCTGCTTGCCTCCTTATTGTAGGCGTTTTGCTTTGCTTACTCTTCGACGCTGAAGCTGGAGGCGATACGTTTTTTCGAAATGTCCATGGTCTTCGCTGAAGTACGTGGCGTAACCCAGAATGTCGACCTCGAAGCCGATAGTCCCAAAGTTTAGAAACGAACTTTTTTTTTGTCACGCATTTGCTGCATCATTAGGTTAAGTACATATTAATGTATAACATCAATTTTTAATGTAAAATTTAACTTCCACTCATGCCGCGGTTGAATGGAGCCATGGACACGATGCATGTGGCGACAACTTTCGCTACATTCATTGCATAAGTGCATTTGTCTAGTAAAATATTCTTATCCTGCCAGCACTTTATCCAGCAACAGTTTCTAGTTTTGGGATAGGCGTAATGGAAAAGGAAATTAAACACCCAGAGCCTTGATCGATGGGGTTTATGTGACCTGTCTGGCAGTCTTAAGATTGGAGTTTGTACCGCGGCATAAATAGTTCAGCTGTAACAAAGACCAGCTCCATTCGCAATTAAGTTATGGGTGTTGATCATCTGGCAACAGTGTTTGACTGGGGGTTTTCATGGTGGGCGGAGCGTTGTCAATCCGTTTGTTCGAATACTAGTACTCGGTTAGTACGTGGATATGTAGTACCATGGTTATGTTTGTGGACCAGCAAGCCGGCGGTGTCAGGATAATGCCGCCTCCCAAGAAGAAATGGATACGTCATTACTTTCTCGGTAAGCGAAAACAGTTCATCCACACAGTAGGTAAGATTTTCATGAAATGGGCGGTGTTGCTGACGTAATTTTTGCTTATGAAGACGCGCTCACAGTTAATATAAGACGGTCTATTTTTGGGTCAAGGGCTTCAAAGCCTTTCAGAAGTACGCATGCGCAAATCCACCTACGGCGTGACCAGGTTGTCACGTGGCCCGTGGCGACCCACATTGAATGTTAAGACCGCAGGTTGTTATCGATAAGGACTTTGGCTTCCATGCTTCGACCATTTGATTTTTGGCTTCTAGAGGAAGAACCTACCCCTGGTGGGTTTATGTCGTTCACTGCAGCAGCGCCGCCTCCACCCCCACCTGTTGTCTCTTCTTCGCAACATCAACCGCCGCCCCCACCGCCCAGCAGACCCGCCCACAATCAACATGTCTCCAACGGGAGCCCCGCCCCTCACCAACCACTGGACCAGCCGGACGATTCCAAGGAATTTCAGAAGCGAGCGTGAGTTTCATTTTGGTTTCTACTTTGACGATGTATGTGGATGGCCGAGATGTATATTTAGTAATGCCCTGTCTTGCTGCAGGGCCGGCACACGCGAGGTGCACAACAAGCTGGAAAAAAACCGCCGTGCGCATCTAAAGGAATGCTTCGAACTATTGAAGCGGCAATTGCCGGCCTCCGAGGACGAGAAGAAGTCTTCCAACCTCAGTATCCTGCACAGTGCCCTGCGACACATCCAGGTAGCCTTTCTTTTTAGGCGTGATCAATGGAGCATGTGAGGCCATGTGCTGTTGGAAGCACGTGGGTCTCAGTTGGCGCGGCGTTGCCATATTACCGATTTTCCCATACCGGAACTCTGGCCTTGTGGGAAGGGATGTAATGGTACCAAGGTTGATGATTGGAAGTATAGAGAAGGGAAATGTTTGACCTTTCATAACGTTCGGGTGTTTGCTTTAGCTAACTGCGTTATTGTGGGTATTTCGGTCGCATTCAATGACTGCTGAGTTTAAACCAGTATTCCCTTCGTGGCAAGGTAAAATTATATGAACCAGATTTTGATTTCAAGTAGATTGCTCCCCTCCCCTTATTACTTGCCGTATTCGTGGGTGAGTGAAACTGTAAGGTGACAATTAGAAAAGCAATCCTTGTTTAATTCTCCATGTCTTGGTGATGATGAGTGAACCTGTTGTACAGCATGATATGGGCCATTGTAATATGTTGTTTAATCGTACATCAGTGCAAAATAGTATTTTACTGTAAGAATAAAAGCTGTTTCACCACTTCTTTAGAACTGAATATTAAACTACAATTTAGTCATTAGAGCGCTTTCATATTTTTTTATTTTGTTTTATTATTTTTTTGTGAAAATACCATGCTCCTTGTGTGTGTTTCAGTTTTTTAAAAAGTTGGCTGATTCCCATTAAATCTTCCTGCAACATAGCAACAACCACCACCAACACAAGTTTCATTTTTTGATTACATCTCAATCAGGACTGTGACAAGGTTAGGGGCTGGATGATATGAGTTATATTCCTCACTCATGGAGCTGAGCCCTTCTTGAGAAGCCTCCAATTGTGCAGCTACTCAAGAACTGGTCCTTATCCTCAGCCATACCAGTCCAATCCATACCATCCCATCCTGTCCCTCTAAGATCCATTTTAATATTGTCTACCCACCTATGCCCTGGTCTTCCCAGTTGTTTCCTTCCATCTGGCTTTTACACTAATATCCTATATGCATTCCTCTTTTCCCCATTCGTGCTACATGCCCTGGCCATCTCATCCTCCTTGATTTGGACATTCTAATTATACTTAGAGAAGAGTACAAGTTATGAAGTTCCTCATTATGCAGGTTTCTCCAACCTCCTGTCAATTCATCTCTCTTCAGTCCAAGTATCCTCAACACCCTGTTCTCAAACACCCTCAGTCCATGATCCTCCCTTAATGTCAGAAACCAAGTTCCACACCCATACAAAACCACAGGCAAAATTATAGTTTTGTATATTCTAATTTTTATGGTTTTGGACAGCACACATGAAGACAAAAAAGATTCTGGACTGAATTGTAGCAAGCATTATCCAAGTTCAGTCTCCTCTTAATTTTCTTCTAAAGTAGGTTTTGATTTATCATCATTCCCAAATATCTGAACTGTGCCACATTTTCAAAATATGTTACCTATCTATATCATGATTTTGCTCTGCATTTTGGTGATGAGACAACAACATATTCTTATTTTTCTCTTTGTTTACTTCTAGCCCAGCCTTCTTGCTAACGTCAATTAAAGTTTCTGTGATTTTCTTTATGGTATCTGTATTCTCGCCCAGTAGATTAACATCATCAACATAGATGAGCAGCTGATGTGGGTTACATTCCTAGCAGGGAATAATGTCTAGACTGGCTCTGAGGCTCAACCAGCCCCCCTCTTCATTGGGTAATGGAGATAAAGTGGTAAGGGTGAAGCTGACCGCTCATCTTATCCAGCGCCGAGGTCAAGAATGGTGGAGCTGTATGTCCACTTTCCCATGTGACTTCATGGCATTGTGCTTAATTATATGATATCCCATTCCCTTCTTTGGGTTGTGAATGTTGCATTGTAATAGCAGCTGTGCAAAAGTAACATGAAGTCACTAAAGTTAGGAATGTGGTCAGGATCGTGTTATAGCAACCACTGAATTTATCTCAGAATGTAATGTCTATATATGATGTAGTGTAATATCCACTGAACTGGCCACTGGGAGACTCCTTGCACCAGAGCAAGCCTGTTAGTAGATTTCATAGGACTTTGGATCACTTCTTGGCAAATAACGCTTTGTTCTCCAATGTTGCTATTCTGGGTGTACCCATTCTTGTATAATCAAACACAGAGCCACGTTCTTCAAATTTCTGACTTAGATTGTACATGACCGTACATGTTGGTGGGTGTCAGTCAAAATCACACTAGTGTGCAACAGTCACTGGGAAACCACTTGTATACACCATTTTTAAAGTAAAAATCTTCTTGTGTTTATTGTTTGTTGTTATTAACCTTTAAGTGACGGCCCTTTAAATTGCGGTAATGGCAGCGGGACGGATTTGATTTAAATACCCGCAATTTTAAAGCAATAAAAACTGTAATAATTTCCTAAAATTGCTGTGATTTCTACATTTTTTGTGATAAACAAACCAAATAAATGCTGCCTTTTTCTAGAAAGAATATAGAATCAGATACTGTAATTTACAGACTTTATAAAATGTGTAAAAAATTTTAGACTGATTACAAGTATAAAATTCCCAAATTTGTCTGTCTACAAGAATTCATATAGTTCTTGGAACTAAGAATGCTCTATGCAGATGTGGCAACATAGCGGATGGATATGCAGACATGTTTTGTCTTGCATGTCTCGAAGCTTATACATGTAGTACCTTCTTTAGGAATGCAGAGATGAGGGGCGAGTATCTCTTCGTTTATAAGAACGTTGATTGTTTATACACAACAAGTTCTTTGTACTGACCCTACTTGGTTAGTTTATCACAACTCTTCAAGGCTATCGTCTTTATACCACAGCCAAGCAGTGTCATCAAGCTTCAAAGTTTCGCAGCGAGAAGGGTGATATTGTCAGCTCACCATGGCGTGGTCTCGTTTGGAAGATTCAGACATTTTTCAACTCATAAATGACTCCGAATCAGATTGTTTTACCGACAATTCTGAGAGTGGCGTTGAGGAAAGTGATTCAGAAATGGATTTCGACGAAGACCCATCATCTTCGTCGGCAACCTGGGGACCACCACACCAGCATGGCAAGAGGAGTGTGAATAATTATTCAGGTGGAGCTGTGGGCAAACTGTGGCAAACAGTTATAGCATCTGTCGTCGAACCTGGAAATGGACAAATAAACAATTTTTCCATCTCCTGGATCTGAACAGTTACATCCTGTTGTCACACAGAGAATTTCGTCTCGCTCTTGTGCGGAACATGCTGGAAGGGGTCCACCTCGCCATCAACGGCCCAGGGGTCGAACCCCAGCCGTTTCATCGGAGAT